GGAGCTAGCCCAGCTAGAGCCGCAGCCGGCACGCTACAGCGATATCGAGGTTCTACCGAGATCAGGAAAATCAGAGGGGATAGCGCAGAGGCATCGCGATTCCCGACATTTCCCAACAGTTCCGGATTCCCGAAGTTCCAGCAGCCCTTGCGAGAGAGCGGTGACGTGGCGGGGGGCGTTCCCATGGTGAACGGCGACCACTCCCCTGCCCCTTGACTTGAAAAAGCCTTTGAGAGGACAGCGACACGTCGCTGCCCACCAGGCCCAGGGAAGAACACGTAGATCGTTTTGCTGACCAGTATGGTCGCCTCCAGAAAGAGAGCTAGCAGTAAAAGGGCTGTAGCAACTCAGACAGAGACCCCGGCCCTAACTGTGGCTGTTCAGGTCTCTGGATGCAGGGAGTGCCAGAGCCTGCTACTGCCGGGGGAGGGAGGACAGCATTCCACCTGTGTGAGGTGTGAGCAGGTGGAAGATCTGCTTAGCTTGGTGGCTGAACTTAAGGAGGAGGTTGAGACGCTGAGGAGCATCAGGGAGTGTGAAAGGGAGATCGACTGCTGGAGTAACTCCCTGGCTGGGCAGTTGGAACGGCTCCAGGGAGATACCCCCCAAAAGGGGATGGACCCCCTGCCCTCTCAGAGAGAGGGGGATGGCCTGAGACAGCCCCTGTCATGTAGCTGTCGCCCGGAGGTAGGGGACCAAAAAGATGAGGAGGGTTGGAAGCGAGTTCCGGTTCGGCGTCGTGGGCAGCCCTCCTCCCTTCCTGCCCCGCTTCCCCAGGTGTCCCTCTGTAATAGGTTTGAGGCCCTGGATCTGGAAGGAGAGGTAGGTGAGGATGTGGTGCAAGGCCCACCTCCAAGGCCACATAGGAAAAAGCGGTCGACTTCGCACCTCAAGACTGCCTCTGGTAAGAAAGAAAGAAGGGTCATTGTAGTGGGTGATTCCATTCTGAAAGGAACAGAGGGCCCGATATGCAGAGTTGACCCTCATCATAGGGAAGTGTGTAGTCTGCCTGGAGCCCGGATCAGGGATATCACCAGGGCGCTCCCCAACCTGGTGCGCCCGACAGACTACTACCCGCTGCTGGTCTTCCAGACGGGTGAGGGGGAAGCTGCTTCCCGCAGTCTGAGGGAGAGGAAGAAAGACTACAGGGCCTTGGGGCGGATGGTGAAAGACTCTGGGGCTCAGGTGATCTTCTCTTCGCTCCTTCCATCTTCTATTGATGATGTAGGACTGAATGGGAAAATTCAGTCCATAAACGATTGGCTTCGAGGCTGGTGCTGCAGGCAGGGCTTTGGATTCTTTGATAACGGCTGGTTTTATAGGGCACCAGTCTGGACAATGGCATGTGGGAAAGGTTTATCGCACAGAGGTAAAAGGATGCTGGGGCACGAATTAGCAGGGCTCATTTGGAGAGCTTTAAACTAGATTCGAAGGGGGATGGGGTTGTAGCTGGGCTTGCCTCAGTGGGACAGCGCTCCGGAATTGGTGAAGACTGGGAGGCCTCCTGTAATCCTAGGGTGAAATCGGTGTGCTCAGCTCGCTCCCTGAAATGTCTGTACACCAATGCGCGCAGCATGGGAAATAAGCAGGAGGAGCTAGAAACCTGTGTTAAGTCGGGAGACTATGATCTGGTGGCAATTACAGAGACGTGGTGGGACAGCTCACATGACTGGAATATAGTCATGGAGGGCTGTGTCCTTTTCAGGAAAGACAGGCCAGCCAGGCGGGGTGGTGGGGTTGCTCTTTATGTGCGAGAGCAGCTACAGTGCGTTGAGTTCTGTCCGGGGACAGATGATGAGCGAGTCGAGAGTCTGTGGGTGAGAATTAAGGGGCAGGCTGGCAGGGGCGATACTGTTGTGGGGGTCTGTTACAGGCCACCGGATCAGGGTGAGGAAGTTGACGAGGCCTTCTACAGGCAGCTGAGAGCGGCCTCACAGTCACAGGCCGTGGTCATCGTGGTGGTTTTTAACTTCCCTGATGTCTGCTGGAAGGACTACTCGGCAACCCAGCCGCAGTCCAGGAGGTTCCTCCAGTGTATGGATGATAACTTCCTCATGCAAATGGTGGATGAGCCAACCAGGAGAGGAGCGCTGCTGGATCTCATCCTCACTAACAAGGAGGGTCTGATCGAAGCAGTGAAGGTTGAGGGCTGCCTTGGTTGCAGCGACCACGAGATGGTAGAATTCAGGATCTTGTGTGGTAGGGTCAGTAGAATAGCAAGTAGAATCGCAACCCTGGACTTTAGCAGGGCAAACTTTGGCCTGTTCAAGCAATTGCTAGGGGAAATCCCATGGGCTAGGCTGCTTGAAGGGAAAGGGGCCCAAGATAGTTGGTTGACGTTCAAGGACTACTTTTTCCGAGCTCAAGATCGGAGCACCCCGACACGTAGGAAGTCAAGGAAGAGGGTCAGGAGACCTGCGTGGCTAAATAGGGAATTGCTGGGTATGCTCAAGTGGAAGAGAAGAGTTTACAGGTCATGGAAGGAAGGGCTGGCCACTTGGGAAGAATATAAGGCTGCTGCTAGAGGATGTAGGAAAGCAGCTAGGATGACTAAGGCCTCCTTGGAATTAAAGCTGGTGAGAGGGGTCAAGGACAGCAGAAAGAGCTTTTTCAAATACATGGCAGATAAAACTAACACCAGAGGCAATGTAGGCCCGCTGATGAACGGGACGGGTGCCCTGGTGACAGAAGATACAGAGATGGCAGAGTTACTGAATGCCTTCTTTGTCTCTGTCTACTCTGCCGGAGGCAGTCGTGAAGAGCCCTGTACCACTGAGACCTCAGATGGAGATAGGTCAACGGAGCGGTCTGCCTTAGTCGATGAGGAATGGGTTAAAGACCAGTTGAGCAATCTGGACATCCATAAATCCATGGGTCCAGATGGGATGCACCTGCGGGTGCTGAGGGAACTGGCAGAGGTCATTGCTAGACCGCTCTCCATCATCTTTACCAAGTCTTGGGAAACGGGAGAGGTGCCTGAGGACTGGAGGAAAGCAAATGTCACTCCTGTCTTCAAAAAGGGCAAGAAGGAGGACCCGGGTAACTATAGACCGGTTAGCCTCACCTCCATTCCTGGGAAAGTGATGGAACACCTTATCCTTGGGGCCATCTTAAGGCATATCAAGGATAAGAGGGGTATGAGGAGCAGTCAACATGGCTTCACCAAGGGGAAGTCATGCTTGACCAATCTCGTAGCCTTTTATGAGGAAATAACACGGTGGATGGATGATGGCAGAGCGGTGGATGTGGTCTGCGTTGACTTCAGCAAAGCGTTTGACACGGTCTCCCACAGCATCCTTGCGGCTAAATTGAGGAAGTGTGGTCTGGATGATCGGGTAGTGAGGTGGACTGTGAACTGGCTGAAGGAGAGAAGCCAGAGAGTTATAATCTATGGGGCGGAGTCTAGTTGGAGGCCTGTATCTAGTGGAGTGCCTCAAGGGTCGGTACTGGGACCAGTATTATTTAATATATTCATCAATGATTTAGATGAGGGAATTGAGTGTACTATCAGCAAGTTTGCTGATGACACTAAGCTGGGAGGAGTGGCTGACACGCCAGAAGGCTGTGCTGCCATCCAGAGAGACCTGGACAGGCTGGAGAGTTGGGCGGTGAATAACTTGATGAAATATAACAAGGGAAAGTGTAGAGTCCTACATCTGGGCAGGAACAACCCCAGGTTCCAGTATAGATTGGGGAATGACCTATTAGAGAGCAGTGTAGGTGAGAGGGACCTGGGGGTCCTGGTGGACGACAGGGTGACCATGAGCCGACACTGTGCCCTTGTGGCCAAGAAGGCCAATGACATCCTGGGTTGTATTAGAAGGCGGGTGGTTAGTAGGTCGAGAGAGGTCCTCCTTCCCCTCTACTCGGCCCTGGTGAGACCTCATCTGGAATATTGTGTCCAGTTCTGGGCTCCTCCGTTTAAGAAGGACAGGGACCTGCTGGAGAGAGTCCAGCACAGGGCAACTAAGATGATTAAGGGAGTGGAGCATCTCCCTTATGAGGAAAGACTGAGGGAGCTGGGTCTCTATAGTTTGGATAAGAGGAGACTGAGGGATGACCTTATTAGTGTATATAAATATATAAAGGGGGAGTGTCACGAGGATGGAGTCAAGCTCTTCTCAGTGGCAAACAATGATAGGACAAGGGGCAATGGGTACAAACTGGAACACAAGAGGTTCCACTTAAACTTGAGAAGAAACTTCTTCTCAGTGAGGGTGACGGAACACTGGAACAGGCTGCCCAGGGAGGTTGTGGAGTCTCCTTCTCTGGAGACATTCAAGACCCGCCTGGACCCGTTCCTGTGTAACCTTATCTAGGTGTTCCTGCTCCGGCAGGGGGATTGGACTAGATGATCTTTTGAGGTCCCTTCCAATCACTAACTTACTGTGATACTGTGATAATGGTGGCCATGATGTCACAACGGGTTCACACCTTGCCCTGCTTCTCCAAAGGGATAAAGGGTCAGAGACTAAAAACACCCCAAAACACCTCAAAACCACCCTAAAACACCCCAAACCAACGTTGTCCTGCTTCTCCTATGGGATACAGGGTGAGAGCCCCAAAGTATCCCAAAACATCTCAAAAAAACCCTGAACACCTCAAAACCATCTTATCCAGCTTCTCCTATGGGATACAGGGTCAGAGCCCAGAATCACCTCAAAGACACCCTAAAACACCCCAAAACCACTTCAAAACCACTGTGTCTTGCTTCTCATACTGGATACGAGGTCACACGCTGAAACCAGTCCCAAACCAAACCAAAACCAGCCCAAAAACACGCTAAAGCATCGTAAAACCACCCTAAACCACCGCAAAATCACCTTGTCCTGCTTCCCCTATGGGATACAGGTTCAGAGGCCAAAAACACCCCAAAACCACCTTGTCCTGCTTCTCCTACACAACACAAAGGCAGAGCCCAAAACCAGCCCCAAACCTACCCCAAAACCACCCCAAAATAATCTTGCCCAGATTCTCTTATGGTATAAAGGCTCAGAGCCCCAAAACAGCCCCCAAAACACCCCAAAACCACCTTGTCCTGCTTCTCCTATGGGATACATGGTCAGAGCTCAAAACCACACCAAAACCACCTCAAACCACCCTAATACCTCCTTCTCCTGCTTCTCCTATGGGGTACAGGTCACAGCCCCAAAACAGCATAAAACCACCCCAAAACCACCCCAAAACCATTTGTTCTACTTCTCCTATGGGATATAGGGTCAGAAGCCAAAATGACCCCCAAAACCACCTAGAACACCCCCAAAACACCCTGTCCTGCATCTCCTATGGGATAGATGGTCAAAAACCCCAAACAGCCCCCAAACAGACAAAAACCACCACCAAAACACCCCCAAACCACCCCCAAACAACATGGTTCTGCTTGTCCTATGGGATACAGGGTCAGAGAACCAAAACAGCTCAAACCAGCCTCAAAGCAGCACCAAACCACCTTGTCCTGCTTCTCCTATGGAATACAGGGTCAGAGCCCAAAACCAGCCCAAACCAACCCCAAACCAGCCCCAAAACACGTTAAAACATCCCCCAAACACCCTAAACCACCACAAAACCACCCTGTCCTGCTTCTCCTATGGAATACATGGTCAGAGACCAAAACCACACCAAAACCACCCCAAACCATCCCAGAACACCCCAAAACCACCTTGCCCTGCTTGTCGTATAGGATACAGGCTCAGAGCAACAAAATAGACCCAAAGCAGCCCCAAAAGAGCCCAAAACACCCTAAAAGCACCCCAAAACCAAGCCAAACCCACCCCATTAGCACCGTGCCCTCCTTCTCCTATAGTATAAAGGGTCAGGGCTCCAAAACCACCCAAAACACCCCAAAACCACCTTAAAACACCCAAACCCAATTTGTCCTCCTTCTCCTATGGGTTACAGGTCAGCGCCCAAAACCAACTCCAAAACAGCCCAAAATCACCCTAAAAACAGCCAAAAAACCCACCCCAAAACCACCTGGTCCGTCTTCTCCTATGGGACACAGGGTCAGAGTCCAAAAAACACCCTAAAACACCCCAAAACCACACCAAAAACCCCACAAAAACCACCACGAAAACCACCTGAGAAACACCTTCTCCTGCTGCTCCTCTGCTATACAGGGTCATACCGCCAAAATATCCCAAAACACACCCAAAAACCAGCAAAGCACCCCCAAACCATCTTATCCAGCTTCTCTTATGCGATACAGGGTCAGAACCCCGAAACAGGCCAAAACCAGCCCAAAGCCACCTTCTCCTGCTTCTCCTATGGGATACAGGCACAGAGCCACAAAAAGCAACATAAGCTCCCCCAGAACACCTAAACCACGCCAAAATCACCCTGTTCTGCTTCTTCTATAGGGTACATGCTCAAAGCCCAAACCTGAACCAAAAATGCCCAAAAGCATCAAAAAACCTCCCCAAACACCTTGTCCTGCTTTTCCTATGGGATACTGGGTCAGAGTCCCAATAGAGACCCAAACCAGCCAAAACCAGCCCAAACCCACCCCAAAACAGCCTCAAAACCTCCCATAACACCCTATACCACCCGAAACCCACTTGTCCTGCTTCATCCTATGGGATACAGGGACAGAGCCCCAAAACACCCCATAAAAACCCTTAAAACACCCCAAAACCACCTTGTCCTGCTTCTCCTATGGGATACAGGATCAGAGCCCCAAAACAGCCACAAAACAGCCCCCAAATAACCCAAAACAACCCAAGATCTCCTTGTCCTGTTTCTCTTACGGCATACAGGGTCAGACCCCAAAATCAAACCAAACCAAACCAAAAGCACACCAAAACCACACAAAGCCACCCCAAATCCAACCCCTGCTGCTTCTCCTATGGCATACAGGGTGGGAGCCACCAAAACACCCCCAAAACACACCAAAACCACTCCAAAACCAGTTTCTCATGCTTCTCCTATGGGATACAGGGTCAGAGCAACAAAATGCAACATAAGCTACCCAAAAACAACCAAAACCACCCCAAAACCACCTTGTCCTGCTTCTTCTATAGGATGCATGGTCAGAGCTCAAAACCATCACCAAAACAGAAGAAAAACACCCTAAAATACCCCCAAAATACACAAAACCACCAAAAAATCCCACACCAAACCACTTGTCCTGCTTCTACGGGATACAGGGTCAGAGCCCCAAAAAGAGCCCAAAACCAGCCCAAAACCACACTAAAACATCAACAAAACATCCTAAACCACCCCAAAAACACCCCAGAACCACCTTGTCCTGCTTCTACTAGGGGGTACAGGGTCAGAGATCCAAAACACCCCAAAAACACCCTAAAGACCACCCAAACCCACCACAAAACCACCCAAAACCCACCCAAAAAGCACCTTGTGCTGCTTCTCCAAAGGGATAAAGGATCAGAGACCAAAAACACCCCCAAAACACCTCAAAAAAACCCTAAAACACCCCAAAACCACCTTGTCCTGCTTCTCCAGCCCAAAATCAGCCCCAAGCCCATCCCAAAATACCCCCAAAACACCCCAGAACTGCCCCAAACCACCTTGTCCTGCTTCTCCTGTGGGATACAGGGTCAGAGCCCCAAAACAGCTGCAAAACAGCCCAAAACCAACCCCAAACCAGCCCAAGAACACCCAAAACCAAAACACCCCAAAACCACAACAAAAACACCCTAAAGCACTGCAAAACCACCCCAAAACCACCTTGTTCTTCTTCTCCTATGGCATACATCGTCTGAGCCCCAGAACTGATCCAAAACACTCCAAAACCAGCCCCAAACCACCCAAACTCCAGCCTAAAACACCCCAAAAACATTTTGTCCTGCTTCTCCTATGGGATACAGTGTCAGAGCCCCAAACCAGCCTGAAACCACCCCAAAATACCCCAAAACACCCCAAAACCAACTTCTCCTGTTTCTCCTATGGGACACAGGGTCAGAGCCCAAAACCACACCAAAACACCCCAAAAAACACCCCAAAACCACCTTGTCCTGCTTCTCCTATGGAATACAGGGTCAGGGCCCAAAACCACCAAAAACCACTGCCAAAACAACACTAAAAGACTTCAAATCAACTTCTCCAGCTTCTCCTATGGGATACAGGGTCAGAGCCCAAAACCAGCAGAAAAACAGCCCCAAAACACTCTAAAACTCACAAAATCAACCAAAATCAGCCCCAAAACAACCCAAAACCACCTTGTCCTGCTTTTCCTATGGGACAGAGGTTAGAGCTGCAAAACAACATAAAACCACCCCAAAACCGCCTTGTTCTTCTCCCGTGGGATACAGGGTCAGAGGCCAAAATGACCCCAAGAACCTGCTAAAACACCCCAAAACCACCCTGTCCTGCATCTCCTATGGGATACAGGGTCAACCACCAAAAACAGCCCAAAACCAGACAAAAAACACTCCCAAACCACTCCAAAACCTCCCCATACCACGTGGTTCACGACAGGGTCAGAGAACCAAAACACCTCAAAGCAGCCTCAAAGCAGCCCAAGCCCACCTTGTCCTGCTTCTCCTATGGGATACAGGGTCAAAGCCAAAACCCACTCCAAAAACACCTCAAAACCACCCTCAAACACCCCAAAACATCCTTAAACATGCTAAAAAATACCTTCTCATGCTTCTCTGATGGATTTACAAGGTCAGAGACTAAAACCAGCCCCAAGACACCCTAAAACATCCCCAAAACAACCTAAACTGCTCTAAAACCGCCTCATCCTGCTTCTCCTATGGGATACTGGGGCAGAGCCCAAAACTACCCCAAAACCATCCTCAAACTCCCCAAAACCACTAAAATATCACCATGTCCTGCTTTCTCCTATGGGATACAGTGTCAGAGCCCCAAACCAGCCTGAAACCACCCCAAAATACCCCCAAAACACCCCCAAACCAACTTCTCCTGTTTCTCCTATGGGATACAGGGTCAGAGCCGAAAACCACACCAAAACACCCCCAAAACGCCCCAAAACCACTTTGTCCTGCTTCTCCTATGGGTGGCACCCAGAGAGAACCCAAAATAGCCCCAAATTACCCCAAAACCACCCCGAAATGGTACCCTCCAGTGGTCGCTGTGGAGCTGCGGCACCTTCTCGGGTAGGTTCAGGGCTGGGGGTGCTCTGGGGGAGGCAAAGGGCAATGGGGGAGGGGGCCCTGGGGTTTCCCCATATTGGGGGCAGGGGGTTCCAGCCCCACATGTGTCCCAACCCCACGTACAAGGGGGACATGGGGGGTCCCCAAATAGGGGGGTCCCTGTACCCGATGGGGGGGCACCCCCCTATGGCCTTTCCGGGGGTTGGGGGGTGTCGGGGCTCAGCACCGGCTCCATGAAGGAGAACAGGGACACAGCCCTTGGCACTGGGGGAATGGGACGTCAGCACCCCAAAACCAGCCTGGAACAGCCCAAAACATCCACAAACCAGCACAAAACACCCCAAAACACCGCCACAACACCCCAAACCAGCACAAAACATCCACAAAACAGCCCCAAACACCCTGAGAACAGCCCGAAACACCCCCAAACCAGACCAAAACACCTCTGAAACAGCTCTAAACACCCGTAAACCAGCCCCAAACATCCCTCAAACCAGCCCAAAACACCCCCAAAACAGCACAAAACACCCCCAAAACCAGCCCAAAACACCCCCAACCACCCTCAAAAGCCACCCCTTTAAACCCCCGAAATCAAAACAGCACCCCCAAACCCACTCCAAACTCAACCTCAGCATGCCAAAAGCACCCCAAACCCACCTCAACTCCAACCTCAGCAGCCCCAAACCAACACAGCACCCCCAAACACACCCCAAAGCCAACCCCATGCTGAGGGTGCAGTTTGGGGGGGGCTGGTACCTTCCTAGGCCTTGGCCGCATTGACCAGACCACCCTAAAACCACCCCAAAACACCCCAAAACCAACCTCAGCACCCCAAAATCACCCCAACACCAGCAGTTTCCTGTTCCCATGGGCAGTTTCTTGCTCCCAAATCCCAGATTATCCCTTTAGGAAACCTGAACCATAGACAAGGTGACGGCACCGGGAAAGGGAGCAGGGCTTAGAGATTCCAGCCCACAGGATTTGGATGCAGTTAAGGGCAACAGAGGCCCTTGGGATAATCCTTATGATTGGAATGTGGGGTGTATGACAGCAACTTTGGGATCACACTTGGGAAGCTGAGGCCATCCCACAGCACCTGGAGACAAGGAGGTTCCCAGCTCCAGGAGTGAATCCAAAGCCCAAATCCCTTTGCAAAGGGGCTTCCAAGCCCATAGATGGTTCATGGAGACCCAACTGGAACGTCCGCCATTCCACAATCATGGAAGAGCCAACGAGGGCACTCAAGTGATGGACCCACAGCACATCATTGGGAATCCATCCCACCTGGAGCAGCGCATGGAGCGCAACCAGCTCCTGCTCCTGAGGCAATTCCAAGACCAAGGAGAAGGGATGGAGCAGCCCCGACGAGAAGGATTTGGGATGCTGGGGGAGGAGAAGCTCAACGGGTGCCACCAACAGCCCATTGTGTCCTATGGGATCTTCCCATTGCGTCCTATGGGAGCTCCCCATTGTGTCCTATGGGAGCTTCCTACTGTGTCCTGTGGGACATGATCTGCATGGTCATGGAGGCCATGAAGGACTCGAGCATCTTGGACAGGAGGGTGCCAGAGGACATCCTGGAGCTGGTCACAAGGGACCTCGACTTCTGGCTGGCGGAGGTGGGTGCCCCATGGCTGCATTCCCATCCCCTTCAGTCCTTCCTCCCCCATCCCAAACCTAGGAGGGGTCTTGGGTACCCAAAGCAGGAGAGAGGGATGGGGAACGCGGTCTCAGCACCATCCTCACCCGTGCTCCGCTTCCAGATGCCGAGCGCCGTGAGGAGCATCCATGAATGCCTGCAGAATAGCAGCCTGGAAGCGACGTGGCGCAGGATGGAAGGGCTCCTCATCCTGATGGCCATCAAGGACCCGAGGGCATTCATGATCGGCATGGTCCTCAATGTGCCCTTGAGAAACAGGTACCAGCCTTGAGGGCTTGGTCCCTATGGCCACCAGACCCAAGGACCCACGGCAATGGATGATCTTAAGGCCCTTTCTATGATGCTGAGGATCAGGTCCCTGCATCCCACCCCATGGCACTGGGGCTGGAATAGGATAATCTTAAGGCCCTTTCTCTGATGCTATGACATCCCTGAGGAGCTGGTCCCTCCATCCCACCCCATGGCACTGGAGTTTTCATTGGATGATCTTAAGGCCCTTTCCATGATGCTGTGGCATCCCTGAGGAGCGGGTCCCTGCATCCCACCCCATGGGGAGCACCACCGCTAACCCCCACAGGACATCCCATGGGATGCATGGACCATGCTGACTCAGCGCCCTGCCTTCCAGCGCTGACGTTTACATGTGGGACATGGTCCTGACCACATCTGAGACTTCGGAGGCCCTATGGGAGCTGCTGAGGATGCTCCAGGGCACCCAGGACACCTCCATCCCCAACTTGCTTGTGAGTCCCAAAGGGCCCTGATGGCCTCCCATGAGCCCTACAGGCTCGATGGGGTCTCAATGCCTGTGTTTGCCTTTAGCCCATGGCCTCCAGTGCTGGTGGTGCTGAGGGCGCTGAGGACCCCCAGAGACTGCTGACACTGTCCTTGCTGCTGGAAAGGCTCTTGGAGCTGTCAGAGAAACCTGGCTTGGTGAGCGGGGCATGGCCATGGGGCAGGGCATGGGCATGGGGCAGGGCACGGCCATGGGGAGCCCCAAAACCACTGCAAAACCACCTTGTCCTGCTTCTCCCATGGGATAGAGGGGCAGAGCCCCAAAACAGCAACAAACAGCCTAAAACCAGCCACAAAACCACCCCAAACCAGCCTGAAACGACACCAAAACCACCCAAAACTACCCCCAAAACAACCCAAAATCACCTTGTATTGCTTCTCCTATGGGATACAGAGTCAGAGCACTAAAACAGCCCAAAATCAGCCCAAAACCACCCACAAACCACTCCTAAAACACCCTGATTCGCCCAAACCCATCCCCAAACCACCTTGCCCTGCTTATCCTATGGAATAAAGGCTCAGAGCCCCAAAACAGCCTCAAAACCACCCCAAAAAACACCTTCTCCTGCTTCTCCTGTGGGGTGGAGATCAAAGCCCCTGAACAGCCCCAGAACATCCCCAAACCCCCTTCTCCTGCTTCTCCTATGAAATACAGGGTCAAAGCCCAAAACCACTCCAAAGACACCACAAAAACACCCTAAAACACACCAAAAACACCTTAAGCACCCCAAACACCCTTAAGCCACCCCAAAACACCCAAAACCACTAAAACCCACCTTATCCTGCTTCTCCTATGGGATACTGGGGCAGAGCCCAAAACTACACCAAAACTCCTAAAACACACTAATCCACCCCAAACCCACCCCAAAACCACCTTGCCCTGGTTCTCCTATTGTATAAAGGGTCAGAGACCCAGAACAGTCCCAAAACACCCCACAACCACCTTGCCTGCTTCTCCTATGGGACACAGGGTCAGATGCCAAAATCAAACCAGAAACACCACCAAAACACCGTAAAACACCCCAAAACCACCTTGTCCTGCTGCTCCTATGGAATACAGGGTCTGAACCCAAAACCAGCCCCAAAACACATTAAAATATACCAAAACAACCCTAAACCACCACAAAACCACCATGTCTTGCTTCTCCTATGGCATAGATGGTCAGAGCCCCAAAACTGATCCAAAACATCCCAAAATCAGTCCGAAACCAGCCCCAAACCACTCAAACTATAGCCTAAAACACCCCAAAACCATTTTGTCCTGCTTCTTCTATGGGATACAGTGTCAGAGCCACATAAGAGCCCAAAACACACCAAAATACCCCCAAAACACACCAAAACCAACTTCTCCTGTTTCTCCTATGGGATACAGGGTCAGAACCCAAAACCAGCCCCAAGCCAACACAAAACCAAAACCAGCCCCAAAACACGCTAAAACATCCCCAAAACACCCTAAACCACCAGAAAATCACCTTGCCTTGCTTCTCCTATGGAATACCTGGTCAGAGCCAAAAATCAACATAAAACCACCCCAAACCACCCCAGAACACCCCAAAAACACCTTGGCCTGCTTGTCCCATAGGATACAGGCTCAGAGCCCCAAAATAGACCCAAAGCAGCCCCAAAAGAGCCCAAAACACACCAAAACCACCACAAAACCACCCCATTAACACCGTGCCCTCCTTCTCCTATGGTCTAAAGGGTCAGGACCCTCAAACCACCCTCAAACCACCCTAAAACACCCAAACCCACCCTGTCCTGCTTCTCCTATGGGTTACAAGGTCAGAGCCAAAACCAGCAGAAAAACAGCCAAAAAACATCCTAAAACTCACCAAAAACACCCAAAACCACCCCAAAACCACCTTGTCCTGCTTCTCCTATGGGATTCCAGTCAGAGAGCCAAAAGAAGCCCAAAACACACAAAAAAACACCCCAAAAACACCTTCTCCTGCTTCTCCTATAGGACACAGATCAGAGCCGCAAAACACCATAAAACCACCCCAGAACCACCTTCTCCTACTTCTCCTATGGAACACAGGGTCAGAGGCCAAAATCACTCCAAAAACGTCCTAAAACACCCCAAAACCACCCTGTCCTGCATCTCCTATGGGATAGAGGGTCAAACACCCAAGACAGCACAAAACCAGGAAAAAACACCCCCAAAAGAGCCCCAAAACACCCCCAAACCACATGGTTCTGTTTGTCCTATGGGATACAGGGTCAGAGAACCAAAACAGCTCAAACCAGCCCCAAACACACCCCAAACTTCCTGAAACCTACTACAAACCACCTTGCCCTGCTTCTCTTATTGTGTAAAGGGGCAGAGCCCCAAAACAGCCCTAAAACCACCCCAAAACCACCTTGTCCTGCTTCTCCTATGGGATACAGGGCCAGGGACAAAGACCACCCCATAAACACACCAAAAACACCCTCAAACACCACAAAACCACTTTCTCCTGTTTCTCCTATGGAATAAAGGGTCAGAGCCCCAAACCAGCCCCAACACAATCCTAAACGAGCCCCAGAA